ACTTGAAGGGATCGCTCAGTGGTAACGTTTCTGACTGTAGTAGCATTGAGTGACTCGGTTATTCGAATCTCAGAGGTGACATGAGTTCTTTCAAGATCGCATATACGCCTTGTTGACTGACTACTGGTGAAAGCCAACAAGCACGAAACCTAGGTCCCGGTAGGTCTTCCTACTGATTGCACCCTAAGATCAATCCAGTGTGCACTGTGATAGAAAAGCACCCAGTATGGTGTGATCACAGTACATTACATTGGTTACTACTCAGTGACCAAACAAAGTACATATTTTTTCTAGTGTCAATGTGTATATGCCTGTTTGAACTGTCGTTTTGATATATGCTTTACTACTTCCATTGGGTATATGACAAACCCTACACGCTTAATTATTGATGATTGATAAGAAATGATATTTCGCGGATGATTATATTTGATGTCACATAAAATCGAAGACTTACAAGTGAAAACTGACAAGCTGGTCGAAAAAGCAGCCGGCGAAGACAGGACTGTAAGTGAACATAGACAGGACGGAGCATCGTAGTCAAAATAACCAACTAACAACAACAGCAGAAACATCCAGCGCCAATCACTATCAACGGGAGGGATTTGAAAGAGGTTACTTCATTCTACTACTTATCTAGGGAGGACTACAGGCAGTCGGAACGGACGAGGATGTCAAATCGAGCGAGAATCGGGAACACATCGGGGAGAAACACATTCATCAACCTGAAACAACCAATCTAGAAATCTTCGTCACTCAGCCAGCATCAACCAAAAAATTCGGTCGAATTTTCAATACAAACACGTCAAGTCAGTCAGTTCTTCTATACGGATCAGAAACTTGGCGGGCGGGTCACAAAGAATATTTCCAACATCCCTGTTGCAGACCAGACCTTTATCAACAACAACTGTCTTCGCTGGCTCTATACTAAAGATCAGATGCCTGGGCCGGGCAGGAGAGAATCACCAACAAGAAACTATGAGCACAAACAAACAAAACAAGAACCAATCGCCCAACCAACAAATATGCAGGAGAAAGTGGAGATGAATGCATTGGACACTCGCTCGCTGAGATGGCCACCAATGGGTGACATCACGCGCGCGTCAGGCCATTTCTCGAGTGGAACCTCGCCGAAAGGGAAGCAGCGGCGAGTGGGACGTCAGTGTAAGGGTGACATGGAGGAGATCGTGTGAAGAGGAGGAGGAGGAGGAGTTGAAACAGTCAGTATGGACTAAGATGGATGGATGGAGGTGAAAAGTACAGCAGAAGGAAGACAGAAGTGGCAAGTGGAGACGTGCAGTTGAATCCCTATGTTCCACTAGGAAGCCAAGGGAACAACAATAATAATAATGATAAGAAATGATGAGTTCCTGTCTGCCTACTGAATCGTCATTTTTTTATTGTTCAGTTGCTTTTTTCGCTTTCCATTGCCTTACAAGTGTAACACATTCAAGGCTTCAACCAGACTGGGCAATAGTATTGTTTGGGTTTTTTCCCAAGGATCAGTTACTAGTCCCATGACCCTCCTTCAAAAAGAAAAACTTCCCTTCTTCTTCGCTTGGGCTTACTGTTGGCTGACTAAGTGAGTAAGGTTTTAAGAGTGTGTTGGTGATGGCGAATCGAACCTTGGACCACGTGTGTTGTTGGTTATTGTGGAGTTTGAATCGATTGAGTTACCGCTCCACTTAATGACTTGATTAGTAGTGATTTCTAACTGGTCTCATTTCAACAGACATCTAATCTTCCTGACTTTCACTTTCTCTCTCTTTCGGTGTCTTTCTAAGCAGGCAACAAAGTTTCACAAAACAAAATTTTGTTTTGTTTTCGATTTTCGAATGTTTATTAATTCATATATTACAAAACAAACGCGTATAGTGTAACGAATGTTTCAACATAGATTCCACCCTATTTTTGTTTGTCTAACTTGTGATTCTTCTGCATGTTGTGTAGGCGTGTGTGTGTGTGTGTATGTTGTGTTGTGTTTACTGTAGTGGGTGATGATTGGGTGGATGAATGAGTACTTGCACACACCCCTTTTTAACTGATCTGGTTAGTCAGTATACTTAAGGCTGTTAGCTGAAACTGAAATAATAATAATAATAATAATAATAATAGGGCTGAGTGGTCTACCAGCATGCCTTGTAACCGCAATGTCCTGGTTTCGAACCCCGGTGGGTGTGTACTGCTAAAGAGTACAAAACTAGGACTAACTAGATATGTTTAGCATTAGTTTCGAATGCTTATTTAACTGGATGTCATCTCACGATCAAACCTGAAATATAGTATATTAGTTTGTTTATTAGGTGTATCACGCAGTGAAACAGTATTATATACTGGATGACGAAGTTTCGAATAAAATTTATTACTGTTCATAATCATATTGATTATAATCACACGACTTCGAAACTTGACTTTTATAGTTTTCTTTGTTCTCTCCTATTTGTCGTCGTTGCAGTAGTAGAATTTTTAAGGCGTCCGACTGGACAGGTGTTGAATCATTCCTATTACACGTATTTGCAGTTGATTCGATAAACAAAGCTTCTGTCATCAATCTCTCCCTCCACTGTGACATTAAGTTTTAAAACTGTCACCCTATCCCACCCATCCTATTGTATGGTTGCGTGTAACTGCATGTAGTGAGTGCTATAGCCGAACTATTCTCTAGATTTCTTATCTTATTTGGGTCAACCAATCTAAATTTTGCTAGGTTTTTATGTTCGGCTAGTCTGACTCACTGCCCCTGTTCTACTACTTTGACCTATGTATTCGACCTGACAATCATTGCAGACGGTGTATTAGATAAACTAAATTGTTTTGTTTTAAAGGCCCCACAGGATTGATCCTTTAACCGACAAAGCTTGTTTTTAATTGAGTTTGTGGGTGGTTTGAATTCCAGCCACTTTTATTCCTACCAGCATTGTTAAGAATTCTGAGTAAGGTGGTTTCCGAGGTTCCTTCTTTGTATGGAATTACTACTGATGATTTAGATTCCTTATTGTTGATGTTGTCATTTTCTTCCGCATATTTGACATGCATGTCGTCATTAATATTATTATTATCACTGTCACTATCACTACTATCATTATTTATTTTATTTTTATATTTCCCTACATATTTCCTGACTAATTTATCCGGGTAATTATTAAGTTTCAAGGCTTCTTTTATGTGTATCACTTCCTGTCTTAGATTTTCCTTGGTGCTACTTCGTTTTTTTTGCTTTGTCACTTAAACATTTTACCAATCCTATTTTTAATGACTTAGGATGGGATGATCTGAAGTCCAAGTATCTGTTTGAATGTGTGGGTATCCTGTAAACACCGGTGTTTTTTAACTTCCCATCTTCTTTCCTTTTTACGTTGCAATCTAACATTGGAAGCTCCCCTTCCTGAGTTTCCAATTCATTAGTGAATTGAATTGCCTCGAATTTTGAGTTAATGTTTCAAAGTCGTGTGATTGTAATTGATGAAATGATTATGAACAATAAATAAATTTTGTTCGAAACTTTGTCATTCAGTCAATAATTGTGCTTCACTGTGTGAACATCTAATAAACAAACTAATATGAAATTAATTTAATTTTTGATTACAGCTTGATTCCACACCGTATTTTTGGTACAGGTATGGAATTTTCAGCGTGTAATATCGGTAGCCCAAGTTTTGCAGGCCGACCATAGATATAAAGTGTGAGTTGGTAGGGGATCGAACCCCGGACCATATGCATGGTCGGTGAAAGTCATAACCGCTGTGCCACCGACGCGACGCACAACCTACAAACACAATGCCCAAGGTTTACAAATGTATTAAAACCTGTAAAATTATTAATAGCCCTATTCTGGTCAATGTTTATAAAGTGCGTATATAATTTGCAATGGAATCAATTGTAGTATAATACTTTTTCTTTTCGCTCAGGACCTTCAGATAAGCATTAGTTGACCGTTAGGTAACGTCATGACACCAACGGCTATCTGATCTGAAGCGCCAAACCAATTCTTTTTATACTATTTCTTCTTCATCTCCTTCAAGAAAAATGCGCGAGACATTCAGTTGAAAGCTATTTTTAAAGTATATGAGTACATCTTGCCTCTGCTGGTTATTTTTATTCCTCAGGCAGTGGTTGGCAGTTTATCCTGAAAATCTCAGGGAATAGTCATCTCATGTTTTAGGAGGATATGTTTTCACCCAAAATTATCCCGACCGATAGCTGCTACCTTGACGTGGTGGTCGGGCTTGCACATCGCGATGACCCAACAAGCTACACTGGTTGAAATCAATGTTCCTGCAGGTCCTACTATGCCAGTAAGGTTGTTAGGATGGCGATTAGACTAAAAGCAGTTACCGCCGGCATTGTGTAAGAATCTTTCTTACACTATGGTGGGGGGTCTGAGGGCGAATTCGTACTGCTGGGGAACAGGGGTGTAACTGGAGTGAGGTGTTTTCTTCAGATGACCAGCATGCCAACACCAGCTATGCTGTTTGTCCACTCCGGAGGGAGGGAGTTCGAAAAGTTCGACTCCAAAAATTGTACATCCCGATTTACCATACGGTGGTCGGTAACCGGCGCACTGCGCAGTACACTCAGTCCGCCTTAATCACTTTGAGATATGGTCATTGAAAGTGGAAAATACGAGAATTCTAGCTGTCTTTGGCCACAGGTGTTTACGTTCTATCCCCCTCCTCGTATAAACTGGTATAATAATATGGTGAGCAATATTGAGGTTAGGCATAGGGTATTGTTAGGTAAGAGGGGAGGGGAGGGGAGTGAATCTGTAAGACCGTGAAACTACATGGATTGATATGACTTTCTCAACATTCTGTTTCCTAACATTATTGTATACTTTTATATATAGTATAGGAAAACTTGAACTGTGATGGCTGTGTGTACTTTTGTTCATAGGTCACACAGGTCAGGCAGTAAACTGTTTTTTTGTCTTCTCATGGATGTTTTCAGCATGTTACTCGATTAGTAATTCATTCATTATTATGATTATTATTATTTTCCCATAGTTTGGTCATCTATGCACTCTGGTGTTCTGGTAATTATTGTCGACAATTGTAATTTAACACAGTTGGAAATGGATCCATATATTCGTGAAGTTAGTTTGTGCCTTTACAATATTTTCTTGTATAATTTTATAACTCTTATATGTGTTTTTATAAATAAATAACCATGGACTCAGGTTTCATCCATGTCAGCATTCATCAGCATCATCAGGAAATGATGCCCTCTATCATATTTTGAATGTGATTGGTGGTGGAATAGCAACAAGGAAAATTAGCAAGACTCTCACTTTATCGATCTGGGAGTGAATGTATATGTATGCCATTCATTGAAAGAACGATTGTGGACTATATCACTAACATTTGTGGATGGTAACTAGCAGTGGAATCCAGGATAATGTGCATTTCGTCCTGTGTGGGACTCGTCAGCCACTGGATGTACCAGCATTTCCCAGTGAGTGATGATTTCCCACCGAGGCTTGAACTCATAGTTTCGAACGCTAAAATGCAGGTACATCCAGTTGACGACTCCCAAACAGGACGAAATGCGTGTTATCCTGGATTCCACTGCTACTCACTACCCACAAATTAAATTCTAATTAAATGCCTAGACATTGTCGAAGCATCTGCACAAGAAGCCGACGGACATGTCAACCTGAGACAGAGCACTTCGGTCCAGTCAATCAGTCGACGACGGAAAAATCTAAAATTCAATTAAATATATCACTAACAGTCTCAAAGTTTTGTTTGTTAGCATCATGAGGACCACAACCAGGCGGGATCTACATCACCTTTGGAGAAGTTAAACGCTATCATCGCCAAAAAGTCAAGGACTCTAAAATGTTGACCTTGAGCCAGAGTCAGTTAGATTTAGAGAACTCGGCAAAAGGTCAATTCAAACGAAATTCTTCCTGCCTTTATGGAGTTGGTGAGGGTGTGCGTACAGTATTCTAAGCATACCCTAAACACTACCAGGTAGGTTAGGACTGTGGTTTAGGGTTTAAGGATAGGCATTAAAGCTCCGATTAGGTTAAAGTACAGTGTCAGGGAATATCAGTGCATCCCCTAAGCTATCATAATCTAAAGTCATCTGAGTGAATGTGTGTATATATCACTCATGATATGATTTTTTTTCCCTTATAGATTATCCTTGGATTAACGGGAAGGAATTCTTAATACTCATAAGAGACAATTATCATCCAGTGTAACATAATGTTTGTAGTGTTGTTTAGCACATTTTCTAACTTTCTGGCATCTGAATTCTGATTGGCTGTTCAAGGTCACTGTGGTTTTGACGACTGATTTCGCTGTTTCACAACCTTATTGATCGATTTTCCTTCTCTACCTTATACTACTCTACGCCTAATCTCATTACTGTAGTAGAAGACAAAAGTTATTCTCCATTATAGATAAGATTTTATTTTGATAAATCACACAGTGTTGTTATACAGTTATATTAACTGATGACCACGTTTCGAGCACAATTTATTACTACTGCTCATAATCATATCAAGTCAGTCACTCACACAACTTTTTCCTTCATTTATACACATGTGCGGAATCGATTAAATATTGGAATAAAAATCAATATGTGATAGCGTACATTCAGAAATAATAATAATGCGAGTGTTATTGATCAAATACAATCAGATGGGAAATGAGACGAGTGTTTTTATAGTCATCAGTAATAAGTAACCTGTTAGAATGTTGTCATGTACGTGAACTGAATTGAAATAGAATACAATTTGAGATTATTTATTATCCTCCACTGATTTCACTGAGTGACTGACTGGTGGTAATAATATCTTCCATGCATATTTCTGGTATTTGGATTGAGTCATTTCTGTTGGATGTGTTGTGTTGGGTGTGGACTCAATGAACCAGTCAGGATTCAGTATTCAACCTCTCTTTCCACCTACCTAGACTGCTTTGCAGAATCTTAACCCTCTTCCACCATGCTGTTGTGTGTTAATGCGCGAAGTGCTATAGCTGAGCTTTTTTCTAAATTACTTATCTTCTTAGATGGGGTCAACCATTCTTACCTTAGCCAGTATATTCTTATGTTCCGACAATCTGACTATCCCTGATCTACTAGTTTGACCTGTGTAGTTGACCTCAAAGTCATCGCATGGTATTTTGTAAATTATATTATTTTGTTTAATTGGGTCCACCAGGTCTTTTAGTCTACAAGTTAATTATTATGACTATAAAAACACTCGTCTTATTTCCCATCTGATTGTATTTGATCAATAACACTCGTATTATTATTATTTCTGAATGTACATTATCCTATACTGGTTGATTTTTATTCACATATCTGGTCAATTCCACACATGTATATAAATGAAGTAAAAAGTTGTGTGTGTGTGAGTGAGTGACTTGATATGATTATGAGTGTCAATAGTTTGTGCTCGAAACGTGGTCATCAGTTAATATTACTTACTGTATAACAACACTGTGTGATTTATCAAAACAAAATCTTATCAATAATGGAGTTATACTCTGCCACAGTGGCCAAGATTTATACTTATATCAATAACAGTCATTCTCTTCATATCTCTCACTCTTTATGTCTGTTCACCGCGGGTCAGGTTTCACTGTATCAATTATGCGTCTTACATTAAAATGAATTTGTTAAATCGGTATTATTGCTAGCTGCTTCAACCATAGTCCATGTTCCAAAATTATAGCTCACATATTTGAAGCATAGTTAGCATGCAATAAATACTACTAACTGAAGCAACTGGCTACGTCTACTCTTGTAAGGGTAACTATGACTCCCTTAATGCTATTTATCCTGATTAGATGTTGTTTTTGCGTTCAAGTGTAATCCATTATCTTCAAGTATTGATTTTTGTAGGGATTTTCTTTTATTGGTTGGAGGATTTCATCATGAGCTGACATCGGTTAGAGAATCATTGAAAAAACCAACAGAAAGTACTGGACAGCTGCCTGCTCCGTCCCAGTTTAGGACTCTTCATCAGTACGTACCCACCACAACTGGGTTCGAACCCAGGACCTTCTGGTTACAAGCCCAGCGAGCGAGCTCGTAGACTATTAAGCCACTGGAACCCGATCCAATGACCAGTCTATGGAATCCTAACTTCTTCCAATTCATGACATAGTGGAGACCACTTCGTAATATTTTATTCTATGGGCTACTGGTTCACCTTGAACCTGCCTGATGTACCCTACTGGTCACGGCTTCTCACTATAATCTCAAGTATAACTCCCGGAATAGGCCCAGTGGTTTGTGAGCATCAGATCAATTTTTAAGCTTTGCTCTTTTTGTTGGGATTTTTTACATATCAATTCCACTTTGGAAAGATTAAATTCACTTAAACTTTTGTCTCAGTGTAGATTTCTCTACGAATTAATATATAGGTTCGCGAAAACTAAATCGGCAGCCTGTTTAAATCACTGAGCTACCAGAATTTTAATCCATCAAATTGCCTAAAGTCTTCTTCATTTCTTGTTGTTTTAATAATGTAGATATTTCAGATAATCACCACATGAATTCGTGCACATATTAAATTAGCCTTCAAGCAGGAAATGAGGGTAGAACATACAGAATTGGTTTACACGTCATATGCAACAAGATTGTGTTACGTGCGCTATACTTAAGATTATGTTATGTTCTAGTTTCCCCGTCGCCAAATTGTTATGTACTCGTCGCTAAATTATTGTTATGGTCTGGTCGAGAAATTAATAGTCCTGACGTGAGAAGGCGGAAATCAGAAGACCACTAGGTTTGCGATGATACTTCTATTGTCCAAACACAAGGAGACGAAAATAAATGGTCTCACACCAAAGTGATAAGTAAGTAAAGTAAAGTCACAAGATTGTGTATGCGAAATATATATGAATGTTCCAGACAAAGCGTGGGAAAATCATTAGACAGTCTTAACATGAATGGCTAATTATAATGGAGTGTCGATCCAAATATACATAGCGAATATAGCAGACATGTCAACAACCAAACATATAATATGGATATATGTCACTAAGCAACGGACTGTCAACAAACACTCATATTATATATAATATAATATAAGGAGAATACACATTATTAAAGGAGACAAGTCCATACAAGTGAAGTGGTCACAGACTAACCGAGCAAACAGAAAGAGAGACCAACATACACAGACACATAAATATATATATGTGGATACATATCAGATTATTGTCGTACATGTAAATCCTATAAGAAGATGACGCACGCTCACAGTGGTTAGGACTCTCGCCAACCATGCACATGGTCCCGGGTTTGATCCCATGCCGAAGCACAGTCGATATCTATGATCGGCCTGCAAAATTTGGGCTACCGATTTCACATGCTGAAATTTCCATACCTGTACCAAAAATACGGCGTGGCATCAAGCTGTAACCAAAATGAAAAATAAGCTGAAAATTTTTGAGTGGTCTGTTAACATTATGTCTGAAATAAAGGCTAGTTTGTGACTCTTCGGTAGCACACACCGATCATCTGGCTGCTATGGAACGAATCTAGGATCTTCAAGTTACGAGATCAAGCTGACTCACTCATCGATTCAGTCACTTGTATTGGAATCCTGTGACTTCATAAATTATGACCACTGTCAATTTGGTTGGTTATATAGCGCTGCGCTCAACCGCTTCCTTCGACAGGCATCCATTCCGTCTTGTCGTGGTGTGGACGACCTCACTGGTGGTTACTACCTTCTCAGTATAGCTTTGGTATAATGAGAAAGTTATCTTTCACGAGTCATCGAATTCTCGCTCATGTGTGGTTAAACAGTCAACGAGGCTGATCGCTTCCTAACCTGACCATCCTGGGTTCGATACATGATGTGGTGGTGGGGTCGTGGGTGCGTATTGCTGAAAAGTCTAAGACTAGGACAGAAGAGCTGTTCAGACTTGGTAAAGGAATGTCTATTGGTATGTAAATTATGTACACCCCTTATCTTCAACGCACCATTTGTACAGATCTCCCGTGTTGTGCTACTGTCGGCGCTCATATTGTGTTTCTTTGTGTTCATTTCACGTCTTTCATGTATCTCCACAACGCTGTTTCATTTACTTTCTCTAACATGAAGTCTATCTCCTTGTTATTTGA